CTTGTATTTTATTTCACTATTATTTCATTTCAGGTTTATTTTGGTTAATATAATTGTTATTTTCAGCTATTCATTTTCAATTCTTCTTTTTTAGTTGTTTCAGGGATTTCAAATCATTTTATATAGTAGATAATGGAAGTCCGAACTAGTGAAATTCATGTTTGTTAAATGATAATTTGCAGTCGTACGTTTATCCCAAGTCTTTGCATTCATGCACTCTTTTTAGTGATTCGTTGTTCATGCAGTAGTCAAAAGAAATGGGATCCATTTTTCGGGTGATTGTCATAACTTTGCATTTTTCAGGTTAAAATCTAACTTACATCGAACACTCCAAACCAATGAACTATTCAAATCTTTCTGTAGGGCGGAGCAATCTCTGACGACATCATCGGCAAAAAACAAACATTTGGAGTGCTCGATATAATCTGGCAAGTCATTAATAAATAACGGAAAGGACAAACGATATAACTTTTGCAGTAATAAATACACCATGGTCCACCCTGTCGAAGGCCTTGCTGAAATCCATGAATATTGTGTCCAGTTGAACCTTATTTTCTAAGGAGTTATTTGCTTCGTTGGTATATAATAGCAAATTTTTGTTAACATAGCTCCATATATTCCGAAAATAGTAGCAACTTTTATCATCAAATATTTTTTATCTGGCGCCTCATTTATAAACCTCTCGACTGGTTCAAACGTAAGAGTTTTTTTTTGGGCCTATACCTTCAATTTTTTCGCTTCACGAATGCAATTACCTTGAAATATTTGCTTGTATTGACACCATTTTTAACGAGCGCACTAGACTTCATCATTGATAACTTGTTCCACAAAGTTGAAGAATTCCATATTTTTGATTTCTCTTCTAGATAGGCCAAGAAAACGGTTTCGCTGATATTTCCTTTGACGTTTTCAAGTCTTCACCACCTTAGAAAATCAGAATACGCGATGTCGTACTGCGGAGCTGACTTTTTTGGTACCAATTCAATTGTAGCTCATTTTGCAGCCTTTTCAATATCGTCAGGAACACACAATTCCTCACTATTNAACAGATTGAATCTGGCGAACATAGATCCCGCCCGCTGAGGTTTGAAGGGGGTGTTTTCTACTGGTGGTGATGGAGGTGCATTAGCCCCTGTCGTAATTCCGCTTATTTCTACAGTGGATGCGGGTGGGTTTGCTCCTTGTACGGTTTGACTAACCTTTTTCTCCTCAGATACTGTGTTTACGGCTACGTCATTCACTGTGGCCTGGAATATACAGTTTACGGAGATAAATACCAAACGAGTTTGAAATACAATCATAAAACTATGTCTTAAATTCTGACATAAAAGATTTATGACGATTGTTACTATGAAAGTGACAGACATTTTTGTATTGACCGGGATTTTACGATTGGGGGCCTATTCATTATCGAATAATGATATTGAATGGATTGGAGATTCACTGAATTGCTATTTGCAAATAATAATTTCACTTCGGATAAAAAAGATTACCCATGTTCATAAGCGGTAGTATCTTCTCTAGTATATACGGAATTTCTCCAGACATAACTCATTTTATGAAACACAATAAGGAAACTAAAATCAGTATACAGATCAGTCGATAACGTAATAGAACCAGTGGGGTCACTTGTAGAACTGAAATTTGGAATCAGTTCTTCGCAGTTTCTACCTGTTGTGAGAGATAAGTGGGAAATTGATCTAGTGTTGTCAATACATTGGTGTTGTGTGACCCGTAGTGAAGCGTACATAAGTTTTATCAGCTATCGAAAACCATGTATTCTTCGGGTCATTCTATCATCTCAAAGTTGAACGATGAAGAGAGTTCCAGACAGTGAATGCGCATTTTCCAAAAATACTGTTTTTGAAATTAGGAATATCAGACCTCTTATAAGATGGAGGAAGCTCCATAGAAGCGAACAGTCCGTGAATGTATCATAAGTAAAAAGTAAGAGTAGTATCTGATATTGATATTGCTTTCGTACAAAAATTTGGTGTCTATAGAGAAATAGTCATGACATTAGAGAAGGTAACAAAAAAAAAGTAGAAAATATTAATACATATCGAAACATCAGTAATTTCAAGAACATGTATGATAGGTGATCTGAAAAGGATTGAGTATACTTCCGCCAAGCAATTTTTTTATCAAAAACGAGTCGTCATTGAATCATGGTTCCTATAGTTCGGATCCGCTACCAGTAAAAAATGTGAAAAAGATATTGTGGACCTACAGACACCTCCTGACTTCAAAAGGTACTGACGTGAATGCAAGAGGTGGACATTCACTAGAGTTTACTATTTACTATTTCGGAAATACTCCACTCTGCTTAGTTCCTACTGTTTCTTTTCTGTTGCAATTGAAACCTTTAGTGTTTATGAAAAAAATTGGTGGATGAATGATGAATTCTACAAATGACAACCAAGCATTTTCATTTTTAATTCAGAGAATCAGTATCGCCATTCAAAGGGGTAATGCCACATCGATATCAGGTACTCTTTCTTCCGTCTACTCAAAAATTAGATGGAATATTCGTGAACCCACAAATCAAAATTGAACTTCCTATGAACATCACAAAATGGAGTAAGCACGTTGATCATTTCCCAATTGTCGCAGAAGGTGCAGAAGAAAATAAACAAGTTCTGGAATTATCTTTCTTTCACAAATTCGAAAAAACCACTATGAATATATCTGATTGAGTTTTAAGGAATTTAACTTCAAATTCCTAATTTTGTTGGTACAATGATGGAAAGAATCATCGCATCCGTGATTACTGGAAAGAAAACAGCAGTGGCGAACGTGTCACCAACAGCTAAAACACAATTAGATCAGTGATACATTTCTCAGTCAAAACCATTGGGCTCAATGGTTTGAAAAATATTGGCAACACCTGTTTCATGAACAGGTTATTAAATACGAGATGGCTACCGAAATATTTGAAAAAGAATGAGTACATGAAAGATATCAATATTAATATTTCTAGTACGGAGGGTGCTTTAATCAAAGCTTTCGCAGAAGTTATCAAGGAATTGTGGTCAGAAGATTCATCTGAAACAATAGTGAACACAGTCTCCTTAAAAAGTCAGATTCAGAGTTCTGCTCCTCGATTCATGGGTTATGCGCATCAAGACGCCCAGGAGTTCCTTTGTTATCTTTTAGAAGGTTTACATGATGACGTTATTAGAATTATTAAGGAACCTAAATCGACCTCAACAGAGATTAATTAAAAATTGTGCTACAGCGGAAAATCACAAGAGTCATAGCTAATTTATTTGAGTACGTATAACTCTAAGATTGCAGATAATTTCGTTAGTCACTCATCTGTAACCTTCGATTTTTTCTGGGATATATCACTCCCCATACCACAACGAACTGGCCAATTGAGTTTATCACAAAGCTTGGATTTTTTCACAAGAGAGGAAGCTTTGGATGGACATGAAAAACCGACGTGTTCATGCAAGGAAAGAAGAAAATGCACAAAGTCTCTATCGATTCATAAGTTTCCCCGAGTTTTAGTCATTCATTTTGAAAGATTTTCTCTGACAGAAAGATTTAGAGGCAAGTTAAATGTTGCCATCGAATTTCTTATAGATGGATTACATATGAACAATTATGCAGCAGACAATGTGGCTCCTCGTCGTTATAATCTATATGCGCTTTCGAATCACAGTGGGTCTACCTACAGCCGACATTATACAGCATTCTGCAGACATCCTTTTACTGGCACGTGGCATGAACATAACGATTCACACTTGTCACCAAATACACTAAAATCGCCTGTGAGTGGAGATGCATACATCCATTTTATGAAAAGGAAAAAACGAGTTCGCATCTTTGAGAGTTTCAAAAAGTTATTATTGAACTGTTGATATCAATGTTATAATGAATAATATGTTATTGAAATGAATGTTTACTTCCTTATATACATGGTGTAGGAAATTAATAGATAGAACATCAGTTAGTACATTCAAAAATGACTATATTTGAATCTGTTATATGTATGATCAAAAATGTTATTCTGATCATCGAACTCAACCTGTAATATTAGAAGGCATTTTTCAAAATTCTCAAGAAACAAAGGATACAGTTGTTAATACAGACCTAGAAAATTGAGTGTTTTGGAGTTGGCTAAAATTCAAATAGCATTATTCCTTGTTGGAATGAAGACATCCCACGGATGAAAAAACATTCTAAAAATAGTTTGAGACATGTGAATAATCGATTTAACGGGACCAATACTAATGGCATCTGAGTAATATCCAGGTCGGACGAACCTGAGATGTTTTAGACTTTTCAGATACTGGAATAGAGAATTCGGCTCTCAATATAAATGAACACTCAAGTCAGAAATAATAAATGCAGGGAAGTTTGAGTAATCGTTGATCCATCTCAACCATATGAGTCACCAAACCTACCTAGAATTTGTTCAGGAATACGTCAAATAGGACCGGCATTTCTACTCCAACTTGTGCATACTCTAAACAAGTTCACTGATTAGAATGTTCAACAGAGGCTATACCGTCTTTCATATTATTTCTTGAAAAACAACAAGTCAGAAAGAGACTAAGGTAACGAATAAGGAGTCTACAAAGTAATATGTGAATCGTGACCAAAAGTTTATAAAGGTTTTTCGTGAAGTTGAACTGTTCGAATAACAATTGTGAAAATGTAAAGATTCAATATGACTTTGTTCTGCTTGATTATATTTGGGAATGTTTTCATTTTGGAGTCTTTGCTATCGAGTCATTGCTATTCATTGGACAATAACAGTAGATGAAACCACAAAAACAATGGAAAAATTGAAAAATATATTTGAAACTTCAAGCAACATGATCGAATGAAAATAGAATCAGGATTCACTTCAGACACCGCTTTCCTGAGGAAATGAAGAATATATCAACGGTTTTACTCGAAATCGGTTGAAGATTTGATGACTATTTTAGATGAAATAAAAAATTGTTAGCCTACAACAAAAAATAACAATGAATTGATGAATGCAGCCATGAGTACGTGATAGAAAATCAACATGACCATTTATTTCGATCCATTTGACGTTTTCAAACCATTCCTTGGGATGTAACCAAAATTCTTAAATTTAATCGATACGGAAATTTTGCACTATGCAAGGAAGGGTTGCAAACTCAATTATTTGAAATCCTTGGAAATTCATAAGCATGAACATTGCGGGTGCAACCTGTTAAATGATCAAATCGATCTAGTTCACTCACTGGTTTTCAAATTAGCGTACTTACATTGTCACAGGTAAACAAAATGTAGGTACTCAATTAAGTTATTAGTATTAGTTAGTAGTACTTCTGTTATTAGCTAGAGTGGTGTCATATAAGGGCTAATGTAATCAATCATTTTTAGTTTAATGTATAAGTTTAAAAATGTTCTTATAGGAGAAAACCGCAGTAACGTTAGATACAAATAAAAGTGGTAAAAACATTAGGAGTTCCAATTTCTCTTTTTTCGATATGAATAACAAATTTCCCATATTGTTCCCTCCAACATATGGTCATCACCTGTTTTCGAAACAGTTTCACTTGCCTTCGAATTAAAAATATCCATATCATCTCATGATGCTAGAGGTTTTTGCATAGAAATTGTATGGACAAACAAATGATGTGCATATTATTTTGTCAATTTGAGCATTCAATTCAATTTGTCACGTAGAATTCATTTTCTGTGGCGGTTTAATTTTTTCCCAAAAATTCGTTCAAAATTAAATTGTTTTTCAGTCTGATTTTTGTTACTGATGATGCTTCTCATTTTGAAAAATATGGTATACAAATGATACATTGCAATATTTTATACGCGATGAAAAAATAACAAATAAATGTATTGTTATAAAAAAATTCAAAAGTCTACCGCAAATGAATGATGTTTGTTGTATATTCTAAATACTTCATATTTTGAGTCTTTGATGTACAGGTTTTTTGTGAATTCTACAGATGAATACTACTATTGCCACTTTGTATTCACCAATAAACATGCTCTAAAATTTTTAGGTCTACTTGGGAATACAGTTTTTTCAGTTGGACTGAATTGAAGAAACACCTTCAATTGTCACAATGGCGTGCAGAGAAATCTCGAATCGATTTTACTGAGACATCCAGTTGTGAAAATTCAGCCATTTTCTTTTACAATCATTAATATTCAAATAAAATATATAGTGGCAATGATGAAATTCTGTAACTCTCTAGAATACAATTTGAGTACCTTATCGAAATGGTATCCCAGTTCTCTATGGGATCTGAATACCTCTTTTTCTGCATTGATGAAAAAGCCGTTGTTGGGAGTTCTCTGCAAGACAGAAAAAAACTCGAAGTGTGTTGTGAATAATCATAGTAGCTTAGATGTATTCAAATCATATTATGAACTGGCGAAAAATCACATGTATAAAAACTGGAGCTGATGATGCTAATTTGTTTAAAAAACGCCCATAGGAAGACAGCGTATTTATTATGGTGTGTGAACAGTGTTCTTTTTCAGATTCATTTTACGCCAGAGGTGTCAATTCTACCCAAGGAATTACTGAAAATACTTTTCCCACATCAGAACCAAAATAATGTCCCTTGCGCGTTTTGACAGACAAATATATTATCAGACGGCGATTGAAATAATGTGGAATAGGCGTGGTAGAACTGTGTTCAGCAAATTGCACCAGGAGTTCATTAAATAGTCTCTTGAAAGGTTACATCAGAAAAATATCAAGATTGTAATGANGAAAAATATTAAGATTGTAATGAAAATTTCAAAAAAATTCATATAAAATAGTTCGTCAATATGAAAAATATTTTGGGTGAAATTCCAGGGTTTGATATTTATTTTGTATAAAACTGAATGAATTGAATGATTATATATGAGTATTATACTTTGTGGATTGGCAGAAAAATTTTCAAGAAACCGTGACTCATTGATCATAAATTATCTGGATCTAGGAGTCGTGAAAAACATCAAGCACTAAATCCTCCTGAACATAATTTCTCTACATCAGATATCCGAAAAACTTCATTCATATCTTTTGTTGACTCATCAAACAAACACTATTTTCTCACCTTATCAAGTTGATCGTTATCTGCAGGTGCAGCAAAGACTGATGATGTCACAGTTACTAAAATGAAAACTGTAAGCCTCGTCATATCTGCAAATGAATAAAATTCATCAATTCTAGATGATATATGAAAAATTAATTATGTTGGATCAGAAAACGCAACTTCATTCACAGTAAAAAGTATTTCTTTAAAAGAAGATCATAGGTTGCTTTGAAATTTTTATCTCTATTGGAAAAACTATTACTTCATGCCAACATCGCCATGTTCCAACAGAAAATCACACTTTTTTCAACAAAGAAATCAAACTTTTTGGCCTTCCAACGGCATCATTCGTTTGATTATATCATTGCAAAAATGAACTATTTTGAATCAAGAAAATATATCATCTCAAAATCCACCACCTATTTGAAGGGAGAAATGAACTGCTTCAAATGGAGAGCAATATCAACTTGATCTGAACACAAAGAGTTCGTTTGAATTTAATACTGTATCCTTCAAATAACTCAATTCGTTTATAATAATAGTTTTGTGAATCTAAATACAAAACTATATTATGATCGACTGAAAATAACAGGAATTTCAATTTGAAAAAACTGTGGTACTCTGATCTTTCTATGACCCTCTTAAGTGGGAGGGGAGCGGGGAATTCCATTGTAAGCATCGCGTACGCGCCAGTATGTGTTGGAAAGAGATGTTGGTGTGTTACGATTTTGAGGAGGAAGTGTTTTATGTAGGCAGAACAATTTCTTTCCGATTATTTTGTATTTACCATAAGGGAACATATTTTACAAGACTGGGGACTTGTACAGTTGAAAGATATTTTCATGGGTGAAAAACTCCGCTATATTAGCGTTGTATACGTAGTACCGAAGAAAACTGGTAAACTTTGACGGCAATTCTTAATTTTGCCCTCATTTTGCGAAAATTATACCAATGCTCCATAATTTTTCACACATGCATTATTACATTTGCCGAGCTCTGCAAGTGTATATTAATTCAAACTGAAAAATCCTCCATGTCAATTCAAATTTGTGAACAACAATTGGGCTAGTTAACGAAATAAACCCACTTGAACAGTGTTTTATTGAAAAAAAAAATATTTTTTTGATTAAGTGGCTGCTGTTTTCATATTTCTACCTTTCTATATATTCGAAATAGTGGCTATAAATGATGTTCTGATTTCTTCTTTCATTTCAGGATCGAAGTGATCCAAGTGATCCGACAAACAAAAGCAGAATGCAGAACTTGATCGACGATAGTGATTTTTTAATGTTATTTACCAGAATGGCATCTAGTTTTAAAAACTTCATTTGTGTAAAATTACTATTAAATTAATTCATTTTCTTGTCTGAGTTGTAATGTGTGTTTATAGGCTTCGATTTTATTTAATTTGTTAATTTGCAATTTGTCAAGAATATGTCCCTTTTTTATATATGTTTTCGTATTGGATATTGATTTCTGTTATTTGTATAACTGTATGATCTCTCAAAAGTGTGCGGTTGGAATATAATATTTAAGCAAAGATTAGCAAAGAAAATTTAGTTCTCTATTACGTTTTGTTTTTTATCACATGCTTTTTCAGGATAATATTTATGATTTGCAATTGCTTCAAATAAACCAATCATAATATGTAATGTATTATTAAGTTTCTTTCCTTACCACTTATAGCTGTTCATATCACAAATAAGATACTTTGGATTCAAGTAAGTAAATACATCCAAATGAGAGGAACAGTTTATAAACAGAACCATAAGTTCATCTTTGATGAAGTAAATGATATGAAATATTCGATTTATATATGAAAAATGCTTCTCTTCAAAAGAAAACAATTGATTTCTCATTTAAATAATGTTCCATATCATTCTTTCAAAACCCAAAACAGTGTTGCTTCGAGATTAAATTTTGCTCAGACTAAAGAATGCATAATTACTTCTCCTGAGCTAATGTGATTATTTCTATTGAAATGTATGCACAATCTTGGTGAAATATTTTTTTTACCTGAAAGAAGCGTTTATTCAGTCCATTTGAAATAATGATCCAAATTCAACTTGAGTGAATATGTTTCTCAGTTTAAAAAAATATTTCTTCAGGAATATAGGAGAACAAGATTTCTTTAAATCAAGATAATGTTCTTCATTCTGAGAATTTTATTTTTACTGTGTTGATTCTTGTTTGTAATAATTTTCATAAAAAATAACCTACGAAAAACAAGTAAAATAAGTACAAAAAACTATGTTGAATGGTTTTATGATGTAAAGAACGTACTGAAACATAAAAAATAATTCGGAATGTCCTAGGTAGCAGTCATCACACTACTTTCCACAGCAATCTACGGTATTGATCAGAAAACAAAATAAAAAAATCGTTGGGCGTAGTATTACATATTTACTCAGGTCACAATGCTATCAAGAAAAATATCATACATAGGATAATTTTGGTCTCAACCAACTATATATTCAGATAATAAATTGCAAAATTGAAAAACAAATATTCAATATTGGTATCCTTGAGAACAATTGAGCTTTATAAATTCCCTTTCAAATTCCTTAATGAAACACCGTTATGGAGACGGGCCTGCAGCGATAGGTTGAAGTTTGACCACTTCTGTGAGACGCAGTTTGTGAAAAGTGAGCAAATTAGTCCAGGATAAAAAATTCTATCAAAATGAAACATTTATATTGAAGTTTCATTATACTATGAATAATGCATGAAAACGTAATAATTATGTGATTTCAATATTGTTTGCTGAAATATCGACACTGATTATGCAATATTTACATTGAAAGGGTTATAATTTTTGAAGTAACTAATTTTTGGGGAAGAAAGTTTTTGGCTTCCTACTACTCCATCTTGATACAAAAAATGTGAAAATCTTCCAAAGTAAGAAAAAAAGCAATCCATTTTAAAAGAAGTTACTCTATGCATACAGTTTAAATCATGCAAAGAAATAACTGAAAAATACTTATTTGCATGATCCATTTCACAATGTTTCAAAATGGAAAAAAGGTATTTGTATATTGAACTATAATCTCATTAAAACTATTGAAATAAAGAAATATCTCAAAAGTTTTTTGCCCTACGCTTCATAGATTTGAATTCACATTTACATCATGATTTCGAATTATATCCGGTCCAAAATACAATTTTTAATTACTTGAACAAATGACATACACACTCTGACTCATGTGAGGAACGCACCACGCGCAACTACAATGCTGCGTCTGTTTCTTTCATACATTACAATTTTCTCAAACCATTTTTTCACATCAAATCTTTGTTTTTCAAAACTTACTAACTGCTAGTTAGGCCAAATTTTTTGCAGCTCTTATTTTGATTTCATATTTTTTATAAACAGGTGAATTTGAATTAGGTACTATCCAATAGTTATGCCTGCAAAAAAACCAACCAAACGTTTGTGAATCCTATAAACTTCATACTTCTGATCGACGTAAAATTTGTTTATCAAACAAATGAGTGTTATGAATCAATCATAGTCTGGTCACGAGTTTTTCAGCGAAATCACACGTTATTTACTTCTCAATATACAAAATGTCACATATTAAACCTTCATTCCATCTGTCAAACAGATGGATGATGGTAGTCTTCAATTTTGAATTTTTACTATTTCATTTAGTATAATGATGTAGCACCTCTTTCAAGAGCCTACTATGAAATAAGCGCGGTTCTACGTTCGCATTATAACCAATACAAAAGTACATTTTATTCGTAACCCTTTATTGTGATGAAAATTATTTAGAATCGGAACTGCCATGCTGATAGGGAAATAAGAAACATGAATTCGCATCGCGTGGCCACTTATTTTTATAGAATTTGATTATAAGTTTTCCCTAACCAGAACAAAAATATTGTCTCTCTGCGTTCCGCTACCCAAGTTAACATCATTGGTAGATGATGGAGACAGTACTACTAACGACTATGATAATATTCTCATACGTATCGATTGAGAGAATATGTTTCTCAGTTTAAAAAAATATTTCTTCATGAATATAGGAGAACAAGATTTCTTTAAATCGAGCGTTCCGCTACTCAAGTTAACATCATTGGTAGATGATGGAGACAGTACTACTAACGACTATGATAATATTCTCACACGTATCTAGATATATCTGATCTTTACTCACAGATGAAGAGTTTTCAAAAACTATTTGTATCTAGATTGAAAGGCGTATATTTCCAGGAGATATTAATATTTGGAAATAAAGCTTTCAAGCTTCATACAGAAGCAAGGAATGAAGCCACCAAGTTCAAATTTAGGTATCCCGGAAAAGATTTTTTGTCAGTTTGTATCTGAAAGTAACTTCTGTGCATGACCTACACATCTTTGGGAAGAGTTTTTTCTGTACTTGCTTGCTTTCTTCTTTTCTTCGAAATTTTCCCATAACTCTTGTATGAAGATGGAGAAATAGAATATCAAAAAGCTTTTTTACTACATCCCTTTATGATATACATATTTGATAGATTTTGATTTTTGTGTGAATTCAACATACTTAATATATCAGCGTTAAAAAAACAGAAAGGTTCTTGTAGATTGATTTCAAAACTTACATTTCCAAAGTCCATATTGTGGAATGTATTTTATAACAAAGTAATTTCTGAATTATGAATCATTCATAGTCTGGTAAAGTGGGTTTAAAGGAAATCACACGTGATTTACTTGGATCAAGTTTTCTTAAAAATATTTTTGCAGACATGAAATATTTCACCAAAACATAACTTTACCAGTCCTCATACTCATTCTTCAATCATAATTGAGTCGAACAATCCATTTATGATTCAGCCTATCACCACTGATGATACCTAGGGCGAATCGAAACAATGCAGAGAAAGACAATGAACGTTTGGCGGTCAGTGTAAAAGATCGACTTTGCAATTGACCCTCTTGAGGAACTTGGTTTATCATTGATTATCGTGGATTCAGTCTTCTGTCGATCCATAGGTGACGTTTTAATTTGAAATACACTTTTTTCAAAACTCTATTACTATCAAGTCGTTAGTGTGACTTATACAAATCTAAAAGGGAAGTTTCAACTCATTGAATTCAACATGGTTTGATTTGTAAATTATTCTCTCGTAGGAATGATTTTCACGGACAGTTTTTCAGTTGAATGTTTATTCAGTTCGCTAATCTTTTGGTTGTACTATAGGTTGGTAGATATTAGAAAGTTTCATGTTATATAATCAAGTGAAGTGTGAGTGATCAACGTTCTATCGAATGATACATACATAAAGTAGTTAAATAAGTTGGTATTTTGATTCGGATAGATAAATGGAAAATATATATTTTTTGATTATGTCAGATACTTTATGTGCCCTTGAAGAAATCAACCAATTATTCTTCAACCATCTCACCATTCGTCATATAAAAAACTGATTAATATACTCTAGGGAAAAGGGATATTCATGAAATTAACATAGGTACCTTCTCACGTAGGTATAATAGGAAACGAAAAGGAAAACTGACCGATTAGCTGAAGATGCTATCAGTCCTTCAATCAGTACAGAAAACTATGTTGTCTTTACAGATAGAAAAATCCAGGTCATGTCACTCTTCCATGGATACCTCATTGTCAGCGACACCAGCCCTATGTGTGAAGTGATATATTCCAATGAAAGAGGAATTCATGACATCCCGCATTCAATTAACAACGTATCAAGACCTAAGAATAATATTGAAAATATTGTGAAATTTTCGAATATATCAACTCATTCAATCCTATGTCATTCCTTTGTTATTCCTCCATTCAGTCGTTGATAACCGTGGAGGTTGATGCAACTTCAAATGGAGTAAAACAAAAATAGCTTGATTCTGGTATAATTACAGGTCAGTATAAAACTAAAGTGAGAAAACCGGAAGCATGAAATTACCTTTATATTTATATATTGTTGTTATAGTTTATCTGAATATCCTGTTCGTTTTTATCTGAATGAAAAAATGATGAAACAGTTCACCACTTTCCATCCACATACTGTGTACGACAGAAAACAACAATAATATAAAACTGTAACATTGGATACTGATGAAAGGCCGAGTAACCTTCGCAAGAGCGTTTATTAACGGAAGACTTACCTTTCATTTTTACGACACTCTCGCTCAGAACAAAAACAACACAACTTGTTTCAATTATGGTACTGATCAAGTTCTTTAGTAAACTGTCACAAATAGAGAGTTCCTGGTTTGACCAAGCGTTGAAATCCCTCCTACCCGCAAGTATATACGGTAACGTTATAATGACTGTTGCATTCAATTAGCACGGGCGATGATGCACAAAACTCCGAGTTCAAAATTGATTCAACGCAGACTGACAAAAAAAATTTAAATATTTCAAGAAGATACCGAATACTACAGTGGAATTCTCATGAATGTTTATATCAGGCAATCTAACATTGGAGAGAGTTTCATTGAAACGAAGTATTTAGAGAATTCACTCAACCACTTTAACTATAGTCAGTATTCAGTACTTTCAATATACAGAGGAACTGAATAATAAGCATTCACTCAATACTACTGGATATTGCAGTGTGAATAATTTAGAAAAAAGCATAAGGATAAAAATTTAAACTTTCACCATGAAAAGAATTATATCATATGATGTGTACAAACAATTTAATAATATCAGAATTGATGCTAATCAGACCAAATTTGACATATTGAAACAAGAAATCAATGTGAACAAGATATGTACAGATACGAAGAATACAAACTTGGAATAAAATTCGGAATCATCAAATTTCAAATGAATTTTCTCCATTATGAATTTTGAATGTGTCATTTATGGAAATTTTCACCAAAATTTAATCGTCACAGAAATGCTTTTTTATAAGAAGCACTCTCAGTTTTGGATAAAGTTTAAACGAGGTAGGTGTTACAAAAGTAAACCGACATTCTGCACATTGTTCTCAAAAATTGAATTGGAAATTTAAACAGACTAGAGGTTAATTGGAGGAGGACGTACTTTCCAAGATATAAACTGGGTGTATAACAAAACTGGATATACAAAATGAAGAAACCATGTCATCAAAAGAGGTTTCTTTTTGATGATTAGAAATTAGTGTACCTGGAAGCAGGCTTTGAGCGGGTATATTTCAACAATTCATAAGATATATGAATTTTTGTAGCAACAACAATGTTGGAAGAATTGCTCATAGCAACAATAATGTTCAATATCTGAGGAATCGTAAAAAGATTCAACCTGGTAATATTCCCTTTTGTCAGTACAAGCGAGGTTGATATCAAGTAGCACTATCGCATTGAAATTTTTTCAGTATTTTCGCCATGATATTCTATTCCACATCTTGTGAATATCTTTGTAAAGTCATTATCACTTTTCCAATGAATCAGTTCTATCCACGAAAACATAAAATTCACGATAGAAATCAATAATTCAATATACTATATAGACCTCACAATTACAAACATGATTTCACACCTTCCTTCATTACCTTTATCAACATAAATTAGCAACTAACTATAACATGATCAATAGACCCATCAGAATCCATAGATAATTTCATGAATAATCAAATTCGATGAAATAAATTGCAGAAAATAACAATTCTAACTCAAACATGGTCTATCACATCTTCGGCAAAAACCTTTCAAGCAGATCAATAACCAAGTATACCCCCGTAATGAAAATAACACTGACACTCACATATATGAAAGAATATATGAAATGAAATTCATATTGTTCCCTCCAACATATGGTCATCACCTGTTTTCGAAACAGTTTCACTTGCCTTCGAATTAAAAATATCCATATCATGTATTATGTTACTCTAACAGTGGAGTTGTTGTTACGAATTATTTATACGTCAATCACATTGACTATTGTTTCGTTCATCTTGCTTTATTTGCACCAACCAGTGTTCGTATGAGATTCGGAGCTATGTTTCACAAAACAGTTATTGATTTTTGTTGGCATCTTCTGTACCTATGTCTTGAAAAGAGGGGTTTCGACGAGGTTTTCATTGATATTTAATATTGTCAACCTTAAAAAAATTAATTGTAAGTTATAGTCTCAGGTTGTTTGTTATGAATTACGTATCTATAAAAACCTATATATTGAATCATTAGGTATTCGAGACTTCCTTTTCAGGCACTACTAGTTATGGTTGAACATGGGAATGTTATGTTCAAAATTTTTAATTTACCTTATGGATCGTGTTTTTCAGGCTCTTTCCTCAATTATTTCCCTGCTCTCCAATATTTTTGATTTTCGCTCCCTTGATTTCCTTTCTATAAATATTTTCTTCGATACCTTCTGCAGGTATTGAGTTTTCATTGCGTTCTCAATAATTTTTAAAATATGTTTCATTTTCAGTTCATTTACATTCAAGTTGGTATTATGTTCTAACAAAATCACTTCCATCTGATTGATTGAAAAATTATTTTCAATACCTACTACATGCAACACGTAACGGAATGAATGATATCATTTTAATTGACGATAAATCTGTAGACTTCAAGGTTTCTTCGTACTTTTTGAAGATGTAATCTATAGAATTGGTATTGGTAATATTAATACATGAGTGAATTCCTCACAAAAAGTCTTAAATGATATATATTCGGCTTTCAACTTCTCAACATTTTCAAGGAACTAAGTATGAAGGTGGTATCCACTTTCAAACACTTCAGAGCATTTTAGGAAATCCTAAGGAGAAAGTCTGGAATTTACGGAATTAAATGTAGGGATTGTGATGGAAAATACTATGGACAGACTAAAAGATCTAATAAAAAAAATAAATAATGAGTTATCATTTGAATTACTCATCGTGAAGTAGTTTTTTCGTATTGATGATAATACATACTATTTTAAAAATCATCAGACATATTAGATACGTATTTGAAAAATAAAGATAAAAAACACATTGCAAACAACAAATTTTCGAGACAACACCAACACAAAACGACATGAAACAAACTAATGGCTTTATCTCTGATTCTGATAGGGTGGTGTCTGTTTTTTAATCAATGGCAGAAAAAAAAAGAATGAAAAAAGTGTAAATTATTCAGGTATTTAACGTATCAAATTAAAATATGCGGTATTAAGGCCATCGATATCTCTCCTAGTGTTAACACTATCGCATTTGAGGATATGTATCATTTCGCTCAAAAGTATTTTTGATAAGTATGGTTGAACATTTAAAATAGTTGGATGATCAAAATCAAAAATGTGTCCATATTCAACGAGAGCTGTGGGATTTTTCATATTCAGTTTCTTGGAGTCTCTCATGTGTTCTGAAACTCGTGTTTTAAGATACCGTAAGGTTTGACCAACATAGCATTTGCGACAGCTTCCACAGTTCAATTTGTACACAATATTGGATTGTACCTATTTCTAAACACTAAAACACCACTAGAAATACAGTTACACAATGCTATGTTGGTAAAAGCGGACGGTATCTTTGAACACGAGTTTCAGCACACATGAGAGACTCTAAGAAACTGAATATGAAAAATTCCACAGCTTTCGTTGGACCTGAAAAATAATACGGACACATTTTTTATTTTGATCATCCAACTATTTCAGATGTTCAACCATACTCATCAAAAAGACTTTTGAGTGAAGTGATACATATCCTCAAATGCGATAGTGGTAACACTAGAAGAGATATCGATGACCGCATATTTTAATTTGATACGTGAAATACCTGAATAATTTACACTTTTTTCATTCTTTTTCTTTCTGCCATTGATTAAAAAACAGACACCACCCTATCAGAATCAGAGATAAAGCCATTCGTTTGTTTCATGTCGTTTTGTGTTGGTGTTGATGATTTTTAAAATAGTATTATCATCAATACGAAAAAACTACTTTTCGGTGAGTAATTTAAATGATAACTCATTATTTCTTGTGAAATTGAAATGAGTTCTGTGAAAGGTATATTCATGAAAATCCATTCTTACAGAGCCCTGAAGAAGAATTTAATTGAATACGAAACGTCGGCAAGAATACAATTGTTTTTTTAAGAAAAAATTGATCCTGTTACCCAACCAACCCCCTTTTTCAGAATCCTATAAATACCTAGCAAACACATGGAAGTAACTATTGAGTTCTATAGGAGCGACACCGCAAGGACACTGTCTATAAAACCCGCATATGGAGATGAATGTCTGCTATATCTTGCCTGCAAATTCATTTTCCATTTTATGTGTAACATGCACAAAGATGTATGCTAATCGGTCAGATTCTATTACTCAATCAAGCAAACAATGGGAACTGAAGTCCCATTAAGATGAAAATATTTATAACTCTTTTTTTCTGATAATGAATGAGAAACTAGTTTTCCGCTATTTCATCTTCCCTTTTGCATGTTTGATACAATCTTTGCATGAAGAAGTCACGAGAAATGAGTAATTAGAGCAGAACTCGATGAGCAATTGCTAAAGATATCTGTCTGGAAGGCTTTTCAGACACTGTTCGTAATTTGACGCTGATAATAATAATAATAAGAAACATCTTTATTATTCTCCGGAAAAAAGATCATAGAAATATTTAATGAAGTTATTATTTGCAAATTATTTCCGTAAATGAAGGTAAATGAACTTTTGTCCAGTTAGTTCAGTCCAGTTTCTGAATAAATTCAACAACTGCACTGTCCTTCCACTAAACCCTAAAAAATATCTCTCCACTAACTGATATGATGAGTGAGTTTGCAGAAACAAATGATCAAACGAAACGAAGTGAAGCTCTGAAATGATATCACTGATGTGTGTGATGAATAAATGGGAGCAAGATTGAGCCTAAATTTTCAAACCCAGCTGAACGCATTCCAAGGAGAAGGTTATTTATCACAAAACATATCAGGTAACTGAAACACCTGCGAAATAATTTAGCTTCGAAAAAAGTTAAAGTGAGTGTTCTCCTGAACCTGGATTTCTACTACGAATAATTGTATGAAATAGATTAGCCGCATGAATGAGTTTTCTGTTACTAATTCTCAACCAATAGGCATCTTTGAGTCTCAAGCCCGAATTTTTGATTTTTTGAATTCTGCGTTCATACTGCTCACTTGAATGTTTTTCATATACAGTGTGAGTTGTGCTTGAAATTTGTTAAATCAGTGCTTGATATGAGATTGATTTTGATTTGGGTAAAAGATACTGCTTGACAACATATATCAATCTTGAAGGAGAATATGCAAGTCGTATCAAGTTTCTTACTTACTTTTGGA